ATCAGCGTGGTGAATAAAGGCCTCGAGTCAACCGCTGCGGTCCATCCCTGTCCTCGTGCAAATACACACGTAAAATCAAGCGATTGCAGCCCCACACCATGCGACTCCCGCCCCGAGGTACTTGATTTACTGCAGAGGTCCATTGATGGCCCGGAAGCTGCGCCAGGCAGCGGTAATTGCTAAAAGCCGCGACTCGTCCACTCGCACTAGGATGCCATTTCACCCTAGATATGACATAGAGTTAGACCATGCAGTATGCCAACTCATCTAATCAAACAATTGGAAGTCCAGGAGTAAAAAGAAAGAACATCGAAACTGCATACGATGTAATCTTCGTTTGTCTCTTCGCAGCTTTTTGAAACTTCCTCGCTAATGTATGTCCGACGCCGACATGGCCTAACGATAGGATAAGGCCTAGGTACACTCGGAGTACAGCGTAAAGCTAACTGTGCAGCGAGTGCTACCGTTATCAGAGTAGAGGTGGCAAGTTGACAATTGAATAGGAATTCTTTGGGAACTCACTTTCTTTGGAGGTTCTGATGGCGCAGACGTTGGCTTTTCCTCACCCTTTGGCTTAGCTTCTTTCTTACCCTGAAACGTCGCATACTAGCACTGAAACAGAGAACAAGCTGCTCACCGGCTTCTTTTTGCCACCACATAAAGCCACGACCAAAACTAAGTACATATGAATGGCGAGAAGGTTGAGGAATGTTGTAAGTAAGTTGACATTCATCCGTTCTTCGCAACAGTTTAGAGCACACAACCACACAGAAATGCTAAATTAGCAATTGAATTAGTCTCGTGATCAATATGTTGGTCATTGTTGATTGATAACTGGTCAACAGCTGATCAGTATGTCAGATGCTGTGAAGGATGTTAAGCTAAAGTAAGCTAAGAGAAAAACATTACCGGAGCTTCGCTCCTGAGGCAAATGGTGTTTGGCCCAAGTGCTCAGCCAGATTGCGCGGGGTACGCTGCTTATTAGATGTAAGCGAGGTACGCAGTGTACACTGGGTATGCTTCACTGTAAGCATTGCAGCCCTCGTTCAATCCTAAGGCATCAGCACAACTGGCATAATTCCGGTTGCTTAATGATCTTACCACAAAG